CTTTTCATACAAATCTACTATGTTCCCCAATTAACATATGCTTATATCACCACTTTACCATCAACAAGTCAACATCAAGTAAACTATTTTAAGCAAGCAAAGCCGGTATAACCCTGAATTATGAATTAGGAGCCAAGTAGAAGTACACAAAAGAAAATACCCTCATCCCCCAACTTGAATATGACATTGTCCTCAATGGAAACAAATACGAAGAAAATAGGAAAAAGAGAAAATATTACCAGCTATTGTAGGTACACCTCCAGCTAGGTAGATATAAACAATTTTTTTTTTGAAGAAATAAAAATAAAAATAAATAAATAAATGAAGAAAACAAAACAAAAGATAGTAGGTGACTATTGAGAATCCGCTGGTGGTGGTGGTGGTGGAAAATGCTGCGCAAACAAGGCGTGCATTAATGATCGCGTCTCGAATTCTTCCAAGTAAGTTATTTAATTTATTTTCAGTGTTGTTTTTATTTATTAAAATCAGATTTAAATTTTGTTTTTGTAACAAAATAAAATCTGTTATTTATTTATTTATTTATTTATTATTTCGAGTTTGATTTTTGTAATCAAACAAATTCTCTCATTTTCTTTATTTCTTTATATTCTTATTGTTATTTTGTACACAACAAAATTTAATCTATTTAAATACAGTGAAAATTATCCTACAAGTTATACCAAACAGCTCCCAATATACCACACTGCTAAGTGAGAGTTTTTAACACTAAAGAAATGCTAAAGACTCCTAAACATAACACTTTAAATTCACTTCTAGTGACATGGCAAGAGATTGCGTCTTAGGTGATTGGTTTTTAAACCAATCAATAATTGACATAAATTAGTTCATCATCTTTGTAGGCAAATTTGAGCATCATATTTTAACAGGAATCAACAATCCTGTAAGACAAGTAAATCGTCAACTACTTTGTTCCAGTTTTAAAAATTAGTACCAGAATAAGATTTCTTAGAGAAAATTCTCGGCAGATAACTTAAAAGTTTGTAGTGGCTCAACAGCCTTTGAATAGAAGAGAACTTTTTTTGGGTAAGTAACCATTGAATAGAAGAGAACTTGTTAGTGAAGAAACATTCACCACTATAAACCATGTAGGGAAAATTTATTATATAAAAACAATAAAATTTGTTATCTTTTGCCTACAGAAATATGGGGAGCAGTGGAGAGCACCTTGCCCCTGTTACAATCAATCCAATTCCGAACTTCAGACTAATATTGTGAAGCACCCTACAGCATTCGGCCATTCTCAGTTTTTACACACTTTTAACTCCTGGATAGGCCTCTAAATACTACTTATACAGGTAGTTCAAAACACTATTCTAAAAAAGTATCAGGTATAATTTGATAAATAAAACCACCAATCCTCACAAAATGCATCCACGATCAATCTTCAAAGGAAACAAATAATCTCAAGTTGTGTTTGAGTCACTTCATGTGAAATGAAATGATGATTCTATCATAACGTCTAGCGGCTTTTCACAATTGGTTCACAAAAAATATAATGGAAACTAAAGAAATGATATCATCATCCCATAAGCGAGATAAAATAAAACCATTCTATTTGTTTCACCCTAAGAGACTGCATGATTGATATATTATATACTACCAATGTCTCCATTAGACAAATCAGTAGAGCACAAAAGAGGAGCACAGTTCAATTTCACATTCATTCTAGTGAACCAAATATTAATTAAAAGAGGGGTGATCCAAACACTACCTAAGAGACTGCGTAGATGACCTTGACACTACAATGTCTCCATTAGACAATCAGTGGAGCACACAAGGGAAATCTTCTGCTTAAACAAACTCCAACAACCACCCTGATTACTTTCAACCTGAGATCTGCAAGTTCATCCCTGAGTCATCACAAGGTTACTAGACAACCTATCTTGATCCTATCAGTCCATAATAGTCAAGCTAAACCCTGAGTGTTCTATACAAATCGACGCAAGACAAACTCCATAGCATACTGAGAGAAACAACTATTAACCTATCCAGGGAATCATTCATCTACTAGTGACGAGGTACATACCACAATGGGCAGGAGACACAACATGATATCAATAAACTGATATAAAAAAGACCAACATGCATCAATTTAAGAAAGAAAATGATATACAAATTCACTTTTTAGACCTATTTTTTAGACCCAATAATATATAAGTTATATGATTAATTGATAATTAAAAAAAATATGAGAAAAAATATTGCCTTTAATATCCTAATTGAATACCACATCGTTGAGCTTGAAAAATGCCGCTAATTTTCTGTAGCAATGTTCATTTAAGAATTGCAACCACAAAAAATAAAGGTACAAATTTGTTAAATACCACACTTGCAAAATTTGAAAAACTAACATAGGGTTCGTTTGACATGAAGGTTTGGGTTGAGTTGGGTTGGGACTATTTTAGCTACAAAAAGACAAAATAAACTTTTTAATCTAATAAGACAAAATATCACATCTAAACCAGATTATCATTTTATTCTCTCTCACAAAAGTAAAAAAAAAAACCAAAAAAACTCCTAGGCTAAAATAGCCAAAAAAACTAAAAAGTCAAAAAATTTACTCATCCCAAACGAAGGCATAAAGACCAACATGCATCAATTTAAGAATAGCAAACACAAAGACAAGATAATAGAGAAGGTTCAAATTTGTTAAATACCTTGACGAGGAGGTAAAGGTCGTCTTCACAGTAATATGATACCATATATTTACTAACATAAATGAAATATGCAAAGCTGATACGAAATAGAAATCCTATCATACTAAGCAATATTGCATATTCGCTTGATTTTCACTCAAATGCCCAAGCATTCTCCCTGCGAACCTCCTCTTCTTCGTCAGGAGTGAAGTCATTCTTGATGTTAAATGTCTTGCGGATCTCCTCCGGAGTCTTCCCCTTTATCATGTCAGCCACTGTCTGACAAGTCAAATCTAGCAGGGTCTTGATATTCAGATAATTGGCTGCCTGTATATAAGATAAAACAAACACAAGGATATCACAATTAGTAGTTATAAATAAAGATGGACTATAGAGAAGATGACTAGTTCTAGATAAGTAGATAAAGTTGGTCTGGTCAATTTTTCAATCCAAGCTATCATCAAACCAGAAAAAATCACAAGCTATCAACATTTGAACCGCAGTCAAAATGAACAGCGCACAAAGATACAAGATTTTGCAGAACAAATTTGAAGGGATCCAAAATCTACCAATTTGTGATCTTTAGTACTGAGACAGCACACAAAAACATCTAGACATGAAAAAATAAACTATAGAGCCATTGGCCCAAAAAAACCAAATATGCAAGAACCTTACAAGTTCCACCAAAAAGATAAATAAATTATAAATATATAAAACATAAGAAGTTTCAGGGTTTAATTACAAGAGACGCCTTCGGGTCAGAACATAGAGCACAATACTGTCTAACATTCACCTAACATTATAAATTTACAGAGCTGTTTAACATTATTTGGCTGAACTCTCATCTAGGTAGAGGTGTCAAATGAAGTCCAAGTGCAATTAGGTGGTAATCATGCAAATACATAATGAACTACGCTTTCAAAGCTAATCTCATACAACCTTTGCAATTTCACATCAGGCAATCAGTACAAATAGTGCAACCAACATAGGCCCTGCTTAGTAGGGCTTATTTTCAGCTTATTTCAACTTTTAGTTTAATTTAAGCTATTTTGATGTGTTTGGTTCAGCTTAACAATACAACTTATACCTTTTTGTAAGTCAAAAATCAACTTATTCTTTGAGTGGGGGAGGAGAAGCTTAATTTATAAGTAAAAAATCAGCTTATGGTCACAACTATAAGCTATAAGCGGTTAGGTTATAAGTTATAATCACTTTCCCACAGTTCTACCAAACGGGCCATAGTTTTAAAAGTCAACACAAAGGCCACCAACCAACCATCCAATAAGGAGAAGCTGCAAGGCATAAAACGTACAATATATGCTGACCTCATCCCGAACCCTTCTCCAAAGCCAGCATATAGAACTCAGACACAATTTCCGGTAGACAAGTTCACATTTTGAAGATTCAAGTGCTACACTAAGGCTTTATGATGCTAAAAAGCACACAATAAGTCATCGGCAGCTATATTTACCAGACCTATATTCCCACACATTTTATTTACAGGATCAAGCAAATAATATAACAGTATCCTTTTCAAACGTTCAAACCCAGACATTTTTGCTGCAAATCATTACAGTGAATTACCCTATATTTGATAGAGTTCACTGCTTCTCTCTGCAATCCAACATGTGTTCCACAATTTATAATTAAGCACTACTAATTTTCATCCAACGCTACCCAATATCCAATACTGTTGCATTAATATGCTATGCCAAATAAAATAATGTCATTATAATAGAGTCAACCAAGCAAACAAGAAACAAAACAAGAAGTAAAAATTACTTGTCAAGAGTATGAATGACACTTCATCAACTACAAGAAATTCAGAAGTGAAAACTACATAAAAACTAACTCCATCTACTTTTTTGGGGAAATATGTTTACACTTTAATAGTATAGTAAGAATTTCCAAAGTTGTCCATCTATTAAATGTATTCAAACTTAACAAAAAGATGATAACAGTATTAGTTTCTTGGCTTTTCAAGATGGTTAACTATTTTGGGACATCCCAAACAACAATGGGAAGGTGGGTGTATGGTACATAATCTGTTAGTTAGTCTAAATATCATCAATATCAATTTTACCAATAATTTCCCAATTTAATATAATGCTTCTTGTTTTCCAAATCAAAGAAACACATAAATATCCCATATCTTGAAGAAAAAGACAAAAAAAGAAAAAGAAAAAAAGAATTATAAGTAACTTGACGTTCAATATATTAAGAATTTTCAACGTTCAATATATTAAGAATTTTCAACGTTGTCCCTCTGTTAAATGCATTCACACAAACCTAACTACCTTGGCTTTGTTAAGCATTTTAGGGCATCAAAATAACAATGGGAAGAGTCTAAATAACATCAATATCAATACAATCAATAATTCCCCAATCTTAACATAATTCTTCTTGTTACCCCAAAAAAAAAAAAAAAAAAAAAATCCCATATAAGTGAAAAAAAACTCTAGAACCTAACTGCTACTAGAAATCAATAATGAACAATATTGTTTTCTCAACCACAAATTCACGCTTTACATAAATTAACAGATAAGTTTCGAAACCACAATACAATCAAAATCAACAAACCCTAATCACCAAGTCATTAGGCAATCAAAAGGATAAAATCTCAATAATCAATGAGATCAAAAAGGGAGGAGAAAACCAAACCAGAATGAGATCAAAAAGGGTGCCCTGATCTACTTTGACGAACTCGGCATCAAAGTTCTTGAGTTCATCCTCAGCTGTCTTGTCGTCGGACTTGGGGGTATCGACGTGCTTCTTGCAGTACTCGATGACCTTGGCCAAGATCTTACTGGTAACGTTCGGCAGAGGAATGCTGGTATCGGCACAGTCGTCCTCGATCATGTGCTTGATAGTCTGCGACTCAATCGCCACCGCTTCCTCAACCTCGAAGGTCTCGCCATCAGAGCTCTTCAACACGATTGTCTTTGAAGTCGACATAGCTTCTCAATCTCAAAATCGAAGAAGAAGAAAACCCTAACCCTAAGAGAGAGAAATAAAATAGGCAGAAACGATTATGAGAATAGAGCTCCTGAAGAAACCCTTATTTATAGAAGGTCGGGTTCATTGAACCGACTTTTTTAAATTTAAAAATTCATTTCTTCGTTCTTATCGTATTATATGTATATGCAAAAATGTTTAATACCCCTTTCTTCACCCTCTTTGACTCCCTCTCTTTCATTAGTTACATTTTTTTTTTTCTCTCCATGTTCCTCCAATCATCACTCATCACGTGTCTATAAGATTGTGGGTGGTAATTGGATGAGTCTCTATCACAACTCATGTATATATTTGAGATTTGTGAGTTTCAATAAAATCAACAAAGATATAATCTAAATCTTAATAAAATATATATTTTAATGTATTATAAATAAATAATTAATTAAATAATTTAATAACAGATTAAGCCGGACCAAGTTGAAAATATAAATTTCAAATCCTTCAAATTCAACCTATTAAAATTTTCGCCTGAAACCCAATCTTATAGACTGAAATAACCTCTTCAAGTCCTAAAAAAAATATAAGAATGAACCGAGCGGATTAACAAGTCCATATCCATTCCTAACATAGACACGTGATCTTTTTAACTTAGATAAAGGTGTGAGGCATGGGGATTGTTCACGGCAAAGATATTTTCATCATTTTAATTTTATAATTTTTTGTGAATTACCTTAGAGTTATGTGATGCCCAAAATTAAAGTTGTAAAAGAATTTAAATTGAGTAATACAGAGTAATACATTTAAATTTAAATTGAGTAATACAGAGTAATACATTTAAATTTAAATTGAGTAATACAGAGTAATACATTTAAATTTAAATTGAGTAATACAGAGTAATACATTTAAATTTAAATTGAGTAATACAGAGTAATACATTTAAATTTAAATTGAGTAATACAGAGTAATACATTTAAATTATTATTATTATTATTATTATTTTAATTTTAAATGTATTTTAATAGGGCTAAACATAGGTCAACCTTGAGTAATTAATTATTATTTTTTTTTATAAAAAATATATAATTAAGTTGAGTTAAATAATAAATTATTTAAATTAAATTTTAATTTTAAATTATGTTTAAATTTAATTTATGTAATCTAATCAATTTACCATGATGACGATTAGAGAAAATATAGAAAAAACCAAAAACAAAAACAAAAGCAGATTGGAAGATTGAAACGCCGACAATTTATCTTGAACGCCTCTCTTCTTCTGCGCAAAATCTCAACTGTGAACCATCTTAAAAAATGGAAAGGCTGATCCACTATTCTAACCCTACCCCCTTCAAAATCCGCCTAAAACCCTCTCCTCATCTCCCTCTCTACCGCCCATTCCAGGCCGCAAAGCTCACTACTGTTCCACCCTCGTCCCGGCTGCTCCTCAGATCCCTCTTCCGCAAACACAACCACTCATCATCATCATCTTCTTCTTCTTCTTCTTCTTCTTCTTCCATCACACAATTGTCTCACTCCTCTTCTTCTCCTTCTGTCGTGGATTCACCCCATGGGTCGAAGCCCACGCCCCATTTTGTCAACCAAATCGTGGAAAGATCTTCTGAGCTTCGAAAGGTATGAATCTAGATGCAATTATACTTTTGAATCACATGTTTTCTTGGCATTTTGTTTTCTGGGTATTTTAATAGACTGACTGCTCAATGTAAATTTTAGTTTCTGGAATCTTGGATGTTGTTTTGGTTTTCTGAGAATTGCTATATGGTTGGTGTGGTTCATACTTGAGAGACACAAAAGATATGGTACACAGGTTGTGCCTTAGATTCTAGATTTACATTGGCCTGTTTGGTGGAGCTTTTTTTTAAGTTAAAAGTTGATAATCACACCCTTACCCAGCTTTTAAATAATCAACTTTTTTTCAGTTTATTTAAGGTATTTCTGCCTAATAAGTTATAAGTAGAAACTACATCAAATGATCTGGCACAACTCCCAAATCAAAGTAAGTTATAATCACCTCCCCAAACTATAACAAACAGTCCTATTGTGGGCATTGGTGTGTGTCAATGATTTTTTATTTTTATTTATATTGTTGTATCATGTATTTTTATGCTTGGGAGCTGGTTAAGAACAAACTCTTTGTTCCATGACTTCAACCCATATCGGGCAGGAGATCTTGTTGGTACCAAAAATAGGATAATTGATTTTTATATGGAGATATGAGCAATAAACTTATTATAATTCAATGAATCGGGATCAACTATTGAAATCCTCCTTATCGCATTATAATCTATGAAGCACGGATACTTCAAATAGAGAGACGTATCCGTATCGGATACCGATATTCCTTGGTTACTTACGGATACATATCAGATACTTATTAAAAGCATCAGATACTTCTTAATTAATTTTTCATTAATTTTGAAGTATCGGATGCTCCAAGTCACATATTATCGGATACTTTTTAATTAATTTTGAAGTATCAAATGCTCAAGTCGCATATTACTCCTTTTACAAAATTAGAATTGTATCATTTCTTGTATAATATCATAATATAATATAATTGTAAGGATAAATAGAATATTTTTACAATATTTTGCTTAGTTTTTTTATAAAAATAACATGGTAAGTTAAAGTAATAGAATTCATCAAATTGACATATCTTCATTGTATCATGCATGTCCCTTATAACTACATAGAAATAAAAATTAATAAGATAATATAACAATAGTAAAATTAAATATCAATAAATAAATAAGCAAATAAACTTGCATAGAATATTTTTGACTAGTGCAAAAGGAAAAAGTATAGGGTCAAGTTGTGGATTGTTTTGATATTATAATATCAACATATTAGACTTGATATTGAAATGAAATATTTACAAGACCTATTGAAAATTTAAAAACTAAACTAACTATTGGCTTAAATTAATATATAATTCTTAAAAATTAGTATTTTGCATTATAAAGTTATTGTGGCTTCTCAACATTTTTGAGCTTATGTGTAACTTACTATTAATAATTTATTTATTTGTATTTTTTACAAACGTATCCTACCCGTACCCGTATCCTATTTTTTTAGGTTTTGTCGTATCGTCGTATCATATCTCGTATCCGTATCCGTGCGTTCTAGGTTATAATATAATTGTAGATTTGAGTCATTCCATGTTGGTCCTTATCTACCTCAATAAACTATAGAGAGAATGACTGTGAATTTTTTTTTGATAATCGAGGAGAACCCATCTTAGGCAGGTAAACTCAAGGTTCAAAACCCACCCCTAAGCCAGTGAACAGGGCAACCGGGAGGGGATTCAAATCCTCATCAATAATGTGGGGGAGCATGCTCACTTGCCAACTCAGATGGCCCTCAGGTAGAATGATTGTGGACTTGATAGCAGGCTTTGTATGATCATTCTCTCCGACTTTTGTTAAAAGGGTTTTGTTCCATGAATATATTATCAACTTAATGTGAATGTCCAATAGGATACCTTACATTTAAGCTGCACTATTTTATGCAACTTTTTGTTCTTAAAAAGCGTTGCCTTCTCAATTTTTATGCTTGGAAATGCAAAATTTATCATTTTAGCTCAACTAGTGTAGATCGGGAAAAATAGAGCCAAGTACTTTAGCTTTCCCCCTTTTACTTTCAAAGTAAAGCTGGTAGTATTGGTGACTACAATTTTTGTTTAACTCAATTGCGATGCTTGAGTTGCATTGAACTATCATCTTTCAATTTGGCTAGTTAGCTTTGCTGGTGCTTATTGCTTTATATCCTTTCAACTGATGGCAAGACATTATTCTGATAAAGCCCGTCACTCTGGTTATGCCAAACTAAAAGCGTTTATTACCTTTATTATATTACTAATTTTGTTGCTCTTTCACTAAATGTGAATGGTACTCTCTTTGTTCGCTGTGGCTTAACCATCTACTAGCAAGTCCCAACCAAGCATACACATGTCGAGGTTCTTGCTTAGTTTTGCACTAGTTGTTTTATGGGTGCATTTCACTTTTTTTCCCCAGATGGAGAGGCGGTTCATAGTTAGGAAATCATCTCATGATTTTATAATATTGATGATGATTGTAGTTTACACTTTTTACCAGTCTGTAATATCAATGGCTTAGACTAGAACAAGAAAATTAGTCATGGAAATTTTAGTGATTTCATAACTTTCTTCTTCTTAATCCAATTTTTACCTTTTGTTTTTGTGTACTTTGTCTTTTCTTAACAATCAGTTAGTTTACTCATCATAATGCTCCTTCATTTAAACTGATAATCGTGTACCTGCTCATTTATATCCTACATATTCTAACGAAGCATTTTCCTCTCCCCAAAATGTTTCAGGAAGTTTCTGCCAGAACGGTTGTACTACTTTCAGCTCTCATCGTGATATTAATCCATCCAGTTATCGTCTCACCTGCTTTTGCTACATTTCAAAATGCCGCTAAGACAGGGGCTCCTGCTAGACTCCTCCGCACCGAATTACTAAGCAGCGCTTGGACCGGTTTCGTTGCCGGTTGCTTACACACACTATCGGGTCCCGATCACCTCGCTGCTTTGGCTCCACTCTCAATTGGCCGCACTCGAATGGAGAGCGCTGCAGTTGGAGCACTGTGGGGTTGCGGTCATGATGCTGGACAAATGATTTTTGGGTTACTGTTCTTACTACTCAAAGATCGGCTCCACATTGAAGTCATCCGAAGGTGGGGAACAAGAGTGGTGGGCTTTACACTACTTGTTATTGGCGCTATGGGAATCAGAGAAGCTTCCGAGGTCCCTACCCCGTGCGTTGCCTTAGAAAATGGCGAGTGTGACGTTAGTGACTATGAAACTCCAACAATTGGGAAGAAGAAGAAGATTGGGTTTGCGACTTTTGCCACGGGAATTGTGCACGGGCTCCAACCTGATGCTCTGATGATGGTTTTGCCAGCACTAGCTTTGCCTTCTCGCTTAGCTGGCGCTGCATTTCTAGGAATGTTCTTGGTTGGGACGGTTGTTGCGATGGGTAGTTATACCGTATTTATTGGCTCATGTAGTGAGGCATTGAAAGAGAGGGTACCTAGAATTACTGAGAAGCTCACTTGGGCTTCCTCTCTGATAGCAATTGCTCTTGGACTAGCAATCATCATTAGCCAGTTTTTTGGGTTTAGCTTATATTGATTTGAGTTTGAGATTTCTTTCATCTGTAGATTTAGGAAAGATTTTGAAGATTAATGGATTTAGGATTGTTACGGCGGGGTGAGAATCATCAATCCTTGTTACTTGTTTTATTGCCTACATTGTTATTTTGATCAAAGTTTTAGTTTTTCTATAAGAGTTCTGATTTGTTTAGTGTGTTTGTTTCATGGGATTAGACTCCATCGTTTAATTAGAAAAGTAAAGGTCAGATTAATAATTAAATACATATTATTTTTAGTTAAATTGTTCAGGACTAATAATCCATTATATTACAATTTTCCTTTATCAAATCTGTCTAAACAGACACTCCGTCATTGGTCAAACTTTATTCAATTGCACATTTTTGTCGCAAACGTATAATTGCAAACCTAAGGCATCAGCTTGATTTGAAATGGGTAGGGCTTGCCTTAATGTATCGCAGGCCCATTCCGCCTTGAAGCAGTCCCATTTTTGGGCCCTCTTGGACCTCCTCATTATTGACCCAACCCAGTACCAATTGTGAGACACACCAAGGCACAAACTTCCTTCAATAACTTTTTAATAATTATTTTTAAATTAAAAATCAACAATAAATTTTCACATAGATGATAAAAAAATTGATGACATGACATTTATCAATTTAACAAAAAATTATTAAAATAATCAATGACAATTTTTTTTTCAGTTTAACCAGATGTCATTTTTTAATAATTTATTATTTTCTTAGTAATTAATTTATATTTAGAAGAAAAAGTTGAAAGATAATTTGTTAGTATTAATAAGTTACCAATATCTAAAAATTAAAAAAAAGTTACTCAAACTGGTGAATTGTTACTTCTTGTGCCAAGGCAAGTATGAGCTCAAATCTCAATCACTCTGACATTGCCTTCAATCCCCTTGTGTCCACAGCAAAATTTAGCACTGCAAAAGAACTGTGGTGAATAATCAAATCAATCCAAAACCAAGTTTTTAAAATATTAAAAAAAAAAAAAAAACCCCAAATAGGAAAAGCAATGAAAACGGTGAAAGTAAAAGAGCAATGCTAGGTATATTGAAAAAACTTTCATGAAAATGATCATGAAAGATTTATGACTCTTGGATTACACTTAAAATAAAACACTACATACTAATCAAGATAATCCAAGGATCATAAATTTTTCATGATCAGTTTCATGAAATTTTTTTCATCATCCTATCTTTTCTCAAAGTAAAAAGAGATTGGCTTTTGTCCTGTTCAATTGATTAGTGGAGAGGCTTGTCTACAAATCATCAAGTCTAAAAAACAGAGACCCTAAAAAGTAACATGTGGAAGAAAAAAAAAAAAAAAAAAAAAAAAAGTCAGCCAAAAAAAAAAAAAAGGGTCCTATTACCCGACCAGATCCAAACATTTTCTTTCACGTTTCCCGGAAAATATATGATTTTTCTCAGAAAATCAAATCAGAGCCTCAATGCTAGCTTTCTTTGCCATCCCACAAACTGGGCAAGAATCCAAAAAAGCTTGGCAAGCTTTGCATGAACAGAGATGCCTACAGGGTAGGAAAATCACACACGAATTCCGAGAATTGCAGCTTTTGCAAACCATCTTTCTCGTACCCTGTTCTTCATTTTCTTGCTGATTTTTCTCGTATCCTCTGTTTTCCCCTGTTTCGTTGTCTCCTCTGTAAATCATCACATCACAGCAAGACTCTGCATCTTCAATCCCATCGACCAAACACGCGTTTTCTCTGAGCTGTTTGATTGTGTTGTTCAGAGATACTACCATGGCTTCGTTTTCTTTGGCCACTCTCTGCCATGTTTGGTTCTCGATCTCCATTCTTCTCAAGAAATCTTCAAGCTCCATTGCTCTGTTCATGGCTTTTGCTATTTCTTCGTCTTTTTGATTCAGTAAAACCAGTGTCTTGACTTCGTATTTCCTCAGAATTAATGCAATTTGTTGCTTTCTCTGCTCTTGCAAAGTCAATCTCAATCTCTCATTCTGTTGAAAAACCAAAATGAAAACAAGAACAAAATCAAATTTAACATCTAATTGATTTTTTAAGCCAAACACATATGTAAGTGCTTCGTTTTCTGACCTGTAAGCTGATAACTCGATCAATCTCTTGTCTCTGCTTCTCAATCTGAACCGCAATGCTCTGAGAAAAAGGCATTGATTGATGATTGTTGTTTTTCGAAAGCAACCCATTGTTGTCAAAACACTGGTTTTGTGTTTTCTGCTGTAGATTCTGAGGAAAATTGAAACAGAGCTCATTGAATCCATAACCACTCTCCATCAAATTCTGTGAAACACCCAAAGGAAACCCAAAATTATCTGGATACAACTGTGCTTCAATCGCCATCATATACGCAAACAAGAACAGAATCGAAATGGGTTTTTGATTCAAAACAAGAACTTGATTGATTGTTGTTGAGTCAGAACAGCTTCATCATCTCTGTTTCTCTCTCTTTATAAACTCCTCTGTTTTGGTTTTGGTATGTAATTGTAAGACACATAAAAAAAACAGAGAAGGTTGGGGAGTCTATGTGTATATATATGTGGATTATAATAGAAGGTTGTCTGATTGAATTAAAGTAACTGTTTTGAAAAACTGAAAAGGAGAACAGAGGGAGGGGGGTGGCCTAGGATTCTCTCTCTTTCTCTTTCACTTTCAAATTTCACTTTCTCTCTCTATTTTCTTTTTTTTTTTTTTTTTTTTTTTTTTTGCCATTAAAACAAAAACAAGGTTTTCCCATTTGTTTCCCTTGACTGAAATATCTCTAATGATGAAGATGAACACTATGAAACCCAATATGGTAGCTACTAACATTGAAATCCAGCCAAAATATTGAAAATAAGATTTCATAAGATTAGAGTTCTATGTTTTCTGTAAGCTCTCTTTCTAATATCTTGTGATATGTCTCTCTTCGAATGGTAAAAAGATGTGATTTGCAGATTATCTTACATTGTTTATGTGGCAAGTTTCATTGAAAAGTAATCAATTCTTTTCATTGTTTGCATTGCTCTTTTTGAGTTTTTAATACTCTGTCATACTTGAATGTTTGTTAATTGTCGAAATTAGCTCTAGGTTGTAATGTAAAGTGTGGGTTTGGGGTTATAGACTCTCTATTATAAGTTTATATTTTTTTTGTTTGGTTTAATGTATCCTTGTTCATAGTGGTTATGTAAGATTAGATGTTCATAATTTGCAAGTCATGATAAAATAGACAGGGACATCAGCACTCCATTGTAATTTAGATGTTTGTGTATGATTGTCAAACACATTGTTCAGTTATTCACTGAATTTTTTTCTGGTTAGGAATTATGGATATAATTATGTCGAAGGTCCATGAAACAAAATCAAATAATATTAACAACACTTTAACCATGTCTAAGAGTATAACAGAAAAAGCACTGAAGAAGATGAACAATTTAATTCACTCACCATAACCACTAATCTTTTTGCCTCAAACTATCAAGTTTTGCATGCATTTCTAGTACTAATGGATGTAATTTTTTTTGTAGATGGCTTTTGGCATGGACTTATGGATATTATATTTTTGTGTACGGAGGATAATTTACACTTTTGTATAATTCTTCTATTTTGTTGTTCTCTGCTTTTGTGTGGATTAGTATTAATCGTACAGATAACTTTTGGTATCGAACGGATAATTTTTTGCGTGGTATATAAATTACATTTTGTCGTGGTACAGATTACCATGGTAATTTATACCACACCTAATGGCCATTTGGCATAGTAGTGAATATATTTTTTTTATGTACAGAGGACTTGTTTTGGTATGATTCTCTATTTATTATTTTAGATTGGAATATACTTAGTTTGTATGAAATTTGACATTAAAAGTTATTTATTTTTTGATGGTTGGATGTGAAATGGATGCAAATTGTGAAATGGTTGATAATATATGTATTGTTTTATTTATATACATGGTACAGGTTGCACGAAATACATACAGGTTGTGAACAAATTAATTTAAAAAATAAAATAATATTTTTGGCGACTAAACAATTAGTAGCCAAAAAGGAAGCAAATATTTTTAACAACTAAATAGTTAGTAGCTAAAAATAAAAATAAAATGAAACAAATCTTTTTGGCTACTAAATATTTTGTAGCCATAATAAAAATAAAAATAAATAATAAAAAACAAAAGAGCAGGCTTCAGGCGATTAAGACTTTAGTGGCTAAAAAAAAATATAATGAAAAAAAAAATTTGGCGATTAAGACATTTAGAGCATCTCCAACCTATTAGGTATATAATGCTTGTTAGTCAAAATGCCTAATATGACTCACTTTTTTCAACTCCAATGCACTAGGCATATGATTAG